ACTTAAGAACAAATCTGTGCGTACGAACGGTTCTTGCATGAGGCCAAATGCTACTGAACCCAGTTACAAACTCCACATATAGGGAAAATAATTCCAGTAAATGTAACATATTTATTGTTCAAAGCATGTTAAGGAAAGTTGTTCCACATACTGAATTCAGTTACAGATTGGCATAAATGTCTTTTTTTATTTAAATGGCATTTTATCTTACCGCAAGTCTCACTTGCCTCCTTTTTAATATTTTCTTCATTGAAAATTTGATTTCTTGTGTCTGTAAAACATAAATTATTGGGTTCAACATGRGAGGAAGAACTGAGGCCAAAGATAAATTTATAATTCTGGCATTTGGGTGTATTTTTGCACTCATGGTAAAAGTGATTAAAATTGGAATAAAATATATTATCACTAAAGACAGATGAGCTGTGCATGTTTTAAAGGCTTTTGCTCTCTCTTGAAATGAAGCTAATTTAGATAAAGCATAGCCAATACAAATATAACTGGACAAGATTACTACAAAAGGAATCCACACAAAAATAAATGGCATCACATAAGAAATGACAAAACTGGGATAGTTATCATTACATGAAAGTTTGAATATCTGACCATGGTCACAGAAATAGCTGTTAATAACTACAGACTCACAGAAGGAAAGTCGGGTGAGTAAACAAACTGTAACTAAGGTGGTAATTATTGTAAAAATCCAAGAAAATGCAATCAAATAAATCATTGATCCATTATTAACCTTCACTTGATAGTGAAGAGGAAACATGATGGCTACCAGCCGATCATAACAGAGAACAACCAGATTAAGAGCCTGCATTGAAAGACAAGCATAGCAGAAAAACAGGAATGTCAAACAATCATTGTACAGAATATTGAAGTGATCRAATAAAAAGATGTCAAGCACTTTGGGCACCAGAGCAGTGCTCTCCAACAAATCCACAAGGGCCAGGTTGAAAACAGCAACATACTTTGGAGTTCTTAAGCTATAATCCAGATATATTACAGCCATAACAGCCGTGTTTCCAAGAACTGAAACAATGTAGACAAAAAGAAGAAACACATAGTAATACTTCATATACGGTAAGCCGATGAATCCACTTATTATGAAATAAGCAGGACGAACAAAGGTGATATTTCTTCCAAGAGCTGAGTTGAATAAACTCATCATAAAGCAGTTTGTACAGAAAATAAAACAATATGTCAGCACTGTTACATCGTCTGTAACCCACTCTTCTTTGTGCTGTTCTCTTTCAGTTTGTGCAGGCCTGACCAGCTTTAAGTGTTTTTCAAATCTCCTTTGTGTTAAAGGCTAAGCTCTGGTGTATTCCATGTCAACATCAGAAAATGTCTTGAGTCAAATGTTGTGGCACTGCAGTAATTTGTTTTACAATCCGTACAAAGCTTTTTTAACTTTACAGGTCTCTTCAAATAATCTCATTCACTATTCTCACCAAAATTACCTGTGATTTTGTTTGTATTTGATTTTTTTAAATATTACAATTTCTAGTTTATGAATACACCGCATTAGTTATTTATCCTTTTTAGCTTTTTACCTCTGTCCTTGTGTTGATGAAATATACTGTATACTAATACACTGCTTAAAACAATAAAACGATCACTCAAAAACAAATCCTAGATCTGAATGAATGAAACATTCTCACTGAATACTTTGTTCTGTACAAAGTTGAATGTGCTGACAGTTTGTGAAATTGTCTGTT